GCACATTGGTATTTGGGTATTCATCTCTGTCTTCTCCATTTGGGTTGTTTTCTTAGAGGTAGGGATTTCCTACTCCATTTTATAAGTTTTGTTCTAAATTTTGGTATTTTGATAAGTTAGGGTTACTTTGATAATTTTGGGAAAACCCTAGTTGTTTAAATTAATTAATTTAACGGGATTGGGGAATTTGGTTAAATTCATAGATTGGAACATTGAGTGGAAATTCTGCTTGAAGTTCTTTTCACCCCACACATGGTGAATTAGGATTCAGTTTGAAACTTGATATTGACATCCTTAAAGTATGGAAATTCTGTTTAATTGAATATAAGAAGATTGAAACATTGAGTGGAAATTCTGCTTGAAGTTCTTTTCACCCCACATATGGTGAATTAGGATTCAGTGTAAAACTTGATATTGACATCCTTAAAGTATGGAAATTATGTTTAATTGAATATAAGAAGATTGGAACATTGAGTGGAAATTCAGCTTGAAGTTCTTTTCACCCCACACATGGTGAATTAGGATTCAGTTTGAAACTTGATATCGACATCCTTATTTTTCTCTTTGTAAAACTGCTCATCCAAATTTGCCAAAATGTCTTATGAGTACCAAGTATCCATAGGTTCCTCTTGAACCATCAATTGCACACTCTGTTTAGTTATTTATGATATCAAACTTGAATAATGATAATTTTCTTTGATAACATTTTACCACAGATTTCTTTTTTCGGAGTTGTCTGTTGTTGAGGACTTATTGTTTTGTCACTTACCTGACTGACCTATTTTTGACAATAATGCAGAGGAAATCACTACCTGAATTTTGGCGAGATCATCCCCTGGTGAGTGCTTTTTTTTTTTTGTCCCAATGTCAATTTTCCAACTTAGTATATTTCCAACAAAATATTTTCATACAAAATTTGTCTTCTCTCCTTGCTGTAATGGCGGTTGATTTATATATAGCATCTGGTCTTGAAGTAATAGCCAACAGTATGAAGAACAATTGTTTGAAAATTTTATTAAGAGATGGAATTTTCACTCTAGATTTTAAAAGATTCTTGTCATGTGCAGCCTTATGATGTATCCAAGGAGCATAATTGTATACCAGATGAACATTATGTTCAGACACTACTGGCTGTAAGTTGATCTTTCTTTCTACTATAGCGACCCTCATTTTAGGAGAAGAATAATTGAACTTCTACCTTTCCCCAAGAAGGAAAAACCAACTTAATTTATGGCTTAGTGGACTAAAAAACATCATAATCTTAAAGAACATATCTTTCAATTAGTGTATTTCAAATCACAGCATTTCTATGATATGTGGAGACCATTTTCTTTAAAGCTTTGTGGAATTTAGTTCTCTGAATTAAGTTCTATTGTATTTAATTTAATTTAATATTATAATGGTCTAAACTACTGCATAAAATAGTCAGATTCCTCATTTTGTGATCTCTATTTGGGCATTATATGCACACAACCTTTTGTTTTTTTCCTTTTCACGAGGGACATGTCAATCCTTGGTGATATCCCATTGCCAGTTGGGCAGCATGATATTCTGGTTGTGGGCCTTGGCTAATGGCAGATAGTTGCATTAACACTAGCTACGATACTTTTGGCACTTCATACTGATTTTTATTCTTGTCCTGAGGTAGTGGATTAAGAATATGTTTTAGTCAATTTTTGGGTTTCTAAGAAGCGATATTGTGAAAAAGCAACTGTGGTTGTGCTTCAAGGGTTAAGTGGAAGAGGACTTGGACATGCTGCTGAATTAAACTACCATCATCACTTTGTTTTGACTTCACCTTGACCTGTCTCACACATGTTGATTGGTGTCTTGTGATTTTAACTTGTGTTCCTAACCAAAAGAAAAAATTCATGCAAAGTTGTCTGAAAGAAGTAATTAAGATCAATATAGTAGATAAAGATCATGAGAAGAAAAAAAGCTATCCACTATGAGACCTTGGGCATACCATTTTCATTTATATCAGATGCATGGATAATATAGATTTTGCTCATCTTTTGAAAGATTTTTAGTTTTTATGTAATTTTCCCAAGTCTCTTTCTTTTAAAATTCAGCAAGAAGGACTTGAAGAATAGATCACACGGAGGACGCTGACTCGTACATCATGGGATCCTTCATCCTCCAAGGATCGTGAACGACGGGGATGGCATCCTATTACATACAAGTTAGCAGATGCCACTACCTTGCTGATCCAATCTATTAAGGTATGTGTATGTCTGCTCTCAACTGATAGGTTTCAAGAACTGAGTCTTCAAAGTTTTTCACTTTCTCCTATTTGTCTTTAAGGTTGCATTGGTAGCTCAAGCTTGTCAGATTGAAAATTCTACATTAATCCCCAAGGAAGGGAATTAACTAATTTTTGAAGATGCCTTTTTCTGCGAAACAAATATTCCGTATGTCTCCTGCAATTTTCTTCTTAGATTGTTCTTTGATTTCAACTTCTTGAAACTAATGGAGCCCAAATCCAAATAAACTGGCAATCAGAATGCCCATTAGCCCCAAATAAACTAGGAATCTTGTTATTTTCCTTCTTTCATCACTTGTCATGGTAATAGTACTAATATTTATTAATCAACATTCTAATCAGAACAAGTTTGAGGTATTTGTTTGCTAAAGTTGACAACCACGAATTATTTTGATTGAATCGAGAAATGGTGTAATGAACTCTTAACAAACTTTGCAGGATATAGACAATATCTATTATGAGACTGAGTACCGCAGAGAATGGTGCACCAATAAGGGAAAACCCTCCTCATGCTTCCTTTTTGCAAGAAAATTCACTAGGCCAGCTACTCTTCGGCTTCTTAATATGGTAAGTTCTATCACTTCTATAGCTTTTCTTTTAAAGCATCCTTTTCTTGTTTAAAAGAAGGTTTTAAAGGGTAGCAGGATGGAACAACTAACTATTTACTATTGAGTTTTCATAATATGGTTTTGAGTTTATTATTTATTTATTACACATTTGCTATTTGTTTGATTGGTTACTTTTATATTTCCTGTCCAGTCTGCATTGGGAGCTTTTGAATGAAGCACAAGTAAAGGAAAATTTCTGTTGTGAAATTGACATCTCATCTTAGAAGAAGGATAAGCATTAACACGCATGGAAAAGTTCGTGTCATTTGTGATTTTTTTAAAAAAAAAAATATAGGGAAAGGGAGCTGTAAAATGCCAAGGAGAGAAGAAACTGTAAGTCATTTAAAATGTATAGTCTATTATTTTTATTACAAAGAGGGTCATGACGGATAAAGTTTATAGAAAAGTATACAGAAAAATTAATACGGCTCGGATTTATTCTTCGAGTGGCGAGGATCACAACCATAATAAAATAAACACATGATTTTTTTTTTTTGTGCACATAACATTACTGTTTTAGCTCTGTTGTCTGGATTTACTTTGCAACTTTGCATCACTTGAACTATCATGTATATGCGTAGTAAAAGTAATGAAAGTTTTGTTATAATTGCATGGATTGCATATACCATTCTAAGCACTGAGCCAATTGATTAGTTTTAGCTGACAAGAAAACACATTCTTCAGATTATTGGATTGTATAATGTTATGAGATATCATTAAAATTAAAAATTAATTGTTTATAATTACTATGTCATTTTGTTTTAGTTATTTTTAAAATTAAAAATAAAGATAAGATGATGGGATTCTTTCACAATCATGGATGATATAAGGGGGAGGATCCAAATCTATCTCGAGTATATTCCATGTAAAATCCAATAAGATGGATGGACTGTTAGAGCCTAGAGGCTTTCGTTTTTGGCCTAAGTTTAGCCTCTTATTGTTGTTGGGATCTAGAGCCCAACTTATTCAATTTTGTCTATAACAAATAAGTGAACGTGACACACTTTATAACTCTCTAGATATCAAAGTTGAGTGTTTTTGGGGGTGTTTGGGAAGAAAAAAAATAGCCTAGTTTAGGCTAAAAATCACAAAAAGACAAAATAGGCTAAAATAGCTAATAAGACAAAATATCACATCAAACCCATAATCATTTCACTTTTTCTCTCACAAACATCACATCCAACCACAAAAAAATCCAATCTTCTTCCCAAACACAAAAATTTTAGCCTACTTAAAATAGCAAAAAACTAAAATAGCCTACTAAAATAGCCACTTCCCAAATGAGGCCTATATTTGCACACCTCTCTTGTTCTGGTATACACCATTTGTGCCAATTGGATATCAAATGTCAAACAAAAATCAAGTGTTCAGATATCAACAACTACTGAACAAAAACCAATTGTTTGGATATCAAGTACCGAACTGAGTTTCATTCGGTAGTTGATATCCAAATAATGATTATTTTTTTATAGTTGATATCGAACAGCAAAATGGTGCAACTGAGAAGTTTTTTGGTGTGCAAATAGAAGCTCCTCGTAACTCCTAGTCAAGCTAAAAGAGAAAATTTGATAAATAAAGCAAAATTAAATGAAAACCAACTTCCTTATCAGCTAAGTTCAGATTCAATTTAGTTTCTACTAGAAGATTGAGAAATAGAATATGCAATCTCATGCCTAAGGTAGCAAAGTGCCACGATCGAAAGACTTGGGATTTATCCAATCCACAGCCACTCTAGAATCACGGTCTAGGTCACACTGATGGATTCCCATAAAAGAGGCTTCCCAAAGGCCTCCAAGGAGGTAGGGTTTCTGCTTTTATGGCAAACCCAATATCCACAGGCTTAGAGAAAGATGGGATAGCATTGCCCAAGTTATCTACATGAATGCTTGTTATTCCTAGTTGACCTCAGTTTCCTAGGGCACAACAATCAATATTAAATTTGATTCTCCTTTTTGAAGGAACAGCACAAAGCACAGCCACTTTTTGTCCCAATTTGGTTCAGTGTATCTTCAAAAAGCCAGGTGACATTATTTAATTTCTTCCATATGCACACACAGTGTATCATGCAGATAATCATAACTTTTAGGAAGAAAAAAAAAAAGGGAGAAAGTGAGGGATATTTATTTAACCATGTATAGAGTATGCGCTCCAAGGATTTCTGAACCTCTGCTTGCTGAAAGAAGGAGACATCAGGTACAGTTCTAGGACAATCAACAGCAATCTAAGAACAAAGAAGGTAAATCATGTATGTGGTTAGAAAATGCTATAAACTGAGGAAGCTAGACAAATGATAATTGGAAGGGTTTTTAGATAGTATCCTCAATACCTGGCGAAGCATGGTTACCTCCTCATCTGTACGCTCAGTATCTGGAACGTCATAATACTGAGCAACACAATCAAGATACTCAACGCGCTTTCTTCTCAAAACTCCCTCCCTCCTATCTGAATTAGGGGGTGCATATCCCTGTCAGTCAGTCCATTTTTTAAAATTTCAAATACGCAACATTCAATAAATTCTGGTTAACAAGATATCGCATGAAGTATGCCCATTACAGTCTCAAAAAAGTAATTAGATGGAATAAAATACTTCTGAAACAACTAGAAAAATAATTAGCCCTAAAATTAATTATATCGAATGCATTCATACTCCTTAAAGAACCACCACACAGTTACAAAACCCAGGGTGAATGACACAATGCACATGAGGAAAAAATCCAATAATATAGAATTTGGAAAGCAAGAACACATTCTTTCGCCTGTAATCTTGGTGAAAAAGACCATATGTACAAAGAAGCAAACAAGCTCTTGAGCCCAGACCCAGTTTGTCTACTTCATCATTATTTGGTGGATTTGATTTGGAACCCATCTTTCTACTTCCTCGTAGTTTGTTTCTCTCCTTTAAGTGTCAACTGAAGCATGTGCTTTTTATGAATACTATGAATTTCATTAACCTTTTTTATTTTTTATTTTTGCTTGGTCTTGTGCAGATCAGCTCAAATTAATGACATATCAGATGTCATATGCCTACGATCTGGCACCTCCAAGGCTCCATCTATAATAAGACTGCCTCTGGTCAAGAAAAATTTAGAATAAAACACCACAACCTATGCCTTCTGTTCAGGAATAGAATTGGTAGAGCATAATAAATATCTCATGACATACCTGGAAGACCAGTTCTGCTCTACTATGTCAAAACTGAGCGTCTGACCTCTCGGTGAATAGACCCAAAAGGCGACTTGAGTGTGCATTGCATCCAATGCACAGTGAGAAATTCTGAGTATCTTCAATGTGACTAATGACTTCTGTGTTAAATTTGTTGTATTTGAGCTTAAAGGGAGTCATGGAACAAAAGTAATTTAGTTAGAAGGGTGAAATAAATCAGGTAGTACAAATGCAGACTTAGGAATGTTCCATTCAAAGACGCAAATAGATAATCCTAGAATGAGAAGTTTAATGAATGAAAGCTTGCGATTTGGGGCAGACAAACCTGAACTATAAATCCTATAAGAAGCGTAGTGAATATCAAACATGAGAAAAGTGCACACAAAGAGTACGGCCACAATTTCCCATCTATATAATGGGGCTTTGGGAAGTTAGTTCTAATGGGTTAGGCAACTGGTGGACATAGCGCACAAATAGAGCAGATTGCACCAAATCTAGATAATCTGTTTCCCACATTTGACAAGATCTATGGCCGAACTTTGTTATTTCCTCGAAAGGTAGACCCGTGTGTGCATCTCCAGTCACAGGAATACCTACAACCATAGAGTGACACGGAGTGAGACCATATATCCAAGCTGATGCTAAAAAAAGAGTCTATTTGAGGAGAAAATGAACGATTAGCATGCACGAAAAAGACCACAACTAAGAACACCTGCGGGTGGCGTTCTTCCATTAGCTTAGAGGAGCCAGGGATACTGATAGGGTTAATCAAACATGGATAGCTTGTCTGCGTGAGCCAGTAGTGTTTTTGCTTTTGTTACGTCTTCGTGAAGCCCCGGCGGCATCAGCGATAGTTATGTCCATAACTCGTGTACCAGAGTATGATCTCCATTGCGTCACTAGTAACCGTATAAATCGACAAATCGACAATATGAGATACAGGTCAGTAATACCTTAAAAAGAAAAGCCAAGACTGTACTGTGGTCCCCCAAATTACTTTCTTTCTAAAAGGAGAAATGTGATTAGGGGCTAAGTAATCTGCCCGTAAAACTTGAGGAGAAGGAGAATATATCATTAGCACATTTGAATTGTGAGAGAGTAATTTAAAATTGAGCCTAAATAAAAAAGGATAGTTGTTGAGAAAAAAGATAATATTGGAAAGAGCTCTCAGATGGGAGGAAGAATGGCTGGTAGTTAAGCTGGTTCGATGGGAATAAAAATAGTTAATGGATGGATCTAAAGTAAGCTGTGTGTGAAGGAAGTCGATTTATATGAGGATATTGCATTTCCAATCAGTTTAGGTGAAGATCAGGTCTCCGCTGCAACCTTTCCTTTTTTAAGATGATCTGCTTAATACAAATCAATCATAAAATAGATAATATAGTAAGTAATTTAAGAGCACAAACTCTGCTGCAATGAATTTCTAAGGAAAAATTAGAGTTAGCATTTATTGACATCGACAGTGTGATATCTTCAGTTAGGCTAAATACTCACTTAGTTATGTCTACTGTTGTTATACTCTACTTTAGCTCTAAATAATTGAAGTCTTATGGCCAGTGGGATAGTAATATTAAGTATATGTGATTTAAATATTTATGGAAATAGCCAATAGGAAATATGATGTTTGCAGATAAGTTGAGCGTGTAACACTGTGTAAACACATTCTTTGGAAGAGTAGCGACTTCATCCAATTTTTCTCTTTTTTTGAGTAAAACAAACAATCAAATATTTTCAATGATTAGAGGGTTAAGAGAACATCGATTATTACGTCTAACTCAATCTATTTAGATCCTATTAAAAACTGCTCCCAGCGCTTGATCAGTCCTAATTCCTCATACAAGTCAACATCTATAATTCTTTTACATAGTTAATTTCAATTAGTTGATTATTTTGCAAGTTATATTTCTTTCTTCGACTGATGCATTGATAGTAGAGGCTGAACAACTATGAGAAGTGAGAGTTTTGGAAATCTTACCTTATCTTATTCTCTACAACCTTTCTATATACGTAGATCCCATATGTAGATAGATAAAGGAATCATAAATAGAGTTTATGCAGTATGAATTGAATGAGTTTCAAGATGCTTGAATAGTCGTCATAAAAAAGGTGGAGTCGAAAGGAGTGCAATGAAGGTTGTGTGTTATTGAATTCTATAGTGGCTATCGCTTTGCGAAATTTTCACTTGAAATAGACTCTCAGACTTACTGAACATAGAGAAGATTTATTTCTACATGGTTCGTTATGGCCGATTTGAATCAAGAGAGAATCGTAGTAGGATCGTAGATCATGACTGAAGTCTTTTTAAGCTAAGTTCTCGATATTGTACTACGAGGTGCAAGTACGAACAGGTTAAATTTTCAAATGGAGATGTCCGGAGCATTTCAGATCACTGTCGTAGTTTTGGCTTAATGGGGATGTAGGATAAGGGCCAACCTTTTGATCGATTGCTTCTCCATAATTATTCCAAAGTACTTAGAAGTAGAGTGTAACAACTTAGCATATATTAATTCAGTTACCAGCTAATAAATCAATCTAGTAAGAAGCACTAACACTTCTAAAAAGATGGCGTATCTGTGTCAAATACCGACACTCGTCAAACACTTCTAAGATATTTCGGAAATGCAACACTCATCTAAACATGTTTTATTATTTTTTTAAAAATTTTATGCATCTGGACATGTTTCAAACACTTGGCCACACACGTGTTTACACACTACTTTAGAAATTAGTGTTATGCAGTATTTTTTATTATTATTATCATTAACACATAATAAATACATAAAAAATATATGTTTTGCTCATGTTTCCCATGTATCATGTCATGTCCTACAATTTTTTTAAATTTTTGTGTTGGCGCTTCCATGTCGTATCTATGCCCGTGACAATGCTTTCTGAATCTAGATCATTCCACCTTTTCACTTGGGTTGACACGAGTCTGCAATTCTCAATGAAGATAATACAGAACAATAACTTTATTTTCAATGCCTAGTAAAGGATAAGCCAGAAATCCAGGATGTGTTCCAATCCATGGCTCAACTTCATGGTCTGATGGAGAGGATTATACAGTACTTATTCATAGGAAGCCAAGTTTAACGAGCTGAAAATCAAAAAGAAGCAGAACATGTGCTAACTTTTTTCAGTGGACAACACATCAATACCATCCATTTCTCAAGCGCTGATTATTCTACTCTGATAACAAGAAACATTACAAAAAGAGAGAACAA